TTTAATATTTAAATTTATAAGAGAAATAATTAATTAATTACCATCCTTGAAGGCAATTTTTATGAAAGTTATGCTAAAAATATAATTAAATTTTTTTATATAATATATAAAAACTTTGCATTCTGTTATCTGTTGAATTTCTTGATTTTCTTTATTTTCGGGGTTAATCAAATTATCCAAACAAAAACACACTTTATCTTTATTTTTTTCCTTAAATTCTTCATTTATTTCAATATCCGTAACAGTTGAAATTGAAACTAAATAATAAAAAGACTAAGATAAGGTAACTTTTCGTTATAAGACCACAAACTGCGTGTCAGGCGACTTTGATCGGATATAAAGTTTTGATGCATGATCCAATACAAATGAATTTTATATCATTCTAAAGCCCTCAATAAATTGTATCTTTTTTCTAATTAGTTCAGTTCTTATCAGTTCTCATCACCCATTAATAAGTTATAATCGTTAATATTTTGGTAGTTTTCTCACTAACATGTTATAATTTTTAATGAGTTATCATACTCATTAAACCTATATTGAGGGCTTTTGACTGATATAAAAATCATTTTTAATGGATAAAGCATCAAAACTTAATATCCGATCAAGTTCGCCTCGCTGTTTTTGGTCGTATGACAGAGAAGTATTTAAATACAAATTTCTGATCAAACAGGTTATTAACCATCAAATTATAATATAAATTACCTTTATCAGGAAATTTTTTAAAATAGATTTGCTTTTCATCAATCAGCGTGAGATAAGATTTATTATATCTAGAAAAATTGTTTTAAGTAAAGTTTTCAGCAAAACGCTGGCGATGGTATTGTGGCTACATAAACTTTTCATCTTATCGAAAAAATGCCAGTTTTATGATATACATTACGGTATCATGCGTATATCTGCCCGCATGTCCGCAAACATGCGGGGTTTTGCCTTTTTCTTCTCATGTTTTCTTCCCCATCTAATATACATAGATTAAAAATGGCTATCAACTTACATTTTCTTTTCTACTTGTTTTTTTCAAGCTTTTGGCATTATAAAACGTGCCGTTTTGTCATAAAAATAAAAAAAACGAGATGGGGAAGAAAGGAGGAGAAGGAAAAGACAAAACTAGCGGACAAACATTTGCGGACATGCGGGCAGATAAGCGTATAGTACATACATTACTAGCTCTGTGATTCGGCTGGAAATCAAGTTTTTTATGCAAAATAAAGAAAATTTTTATTTCGGTTACCCTATACACAAGAGATAAAAATATTTTACCCTATAAGTGTAATAATAAATATCACGCAATACGTTAATTCTCCATAATTTTCCTTAAGAATATCATCATTTACCGATTCCCATTTCAGTTTTAGTGCATAAAACTTATTTTTGAAGGGTATTTTATATTTATCTAAAATTGCATTTCTGTCATTATTTATATTTTCTTGTGCTGGTTGCATTGTAAATAAATTATAAATATTATCTTTCTTGTGAAATTTATATATTTTATCAGCTATACAAAATGATAATTGTTCTTAAAAATAAATTTTTGTTCGGAGTTAGGTTGTTAGGGGTCAGGGACACTCGAACGAACTAAACAAATTTTTATTTCGAATTGAAATTTTTTATTTCGCACAGAAGTCACGAAAAAGGGAAATGGAAGAAAGTGAATGAAAGAGCGAAACAAAACAAAATTTTGATTATCTAAACCAAATAAAGAATCCGGCCCTATATGAAAATAAGAGCCAAATCAAATTTTTTCCATAATCCTTAAAGACAAAACAAGGACGGACACGGAAAGATAAAACACGGACACACATGTTCAGTTAATCTTTTTGCGTTTATAGCCTTACGTCATAAATCAAAGATAGAGACAAATGTAGAGGGAAACACATTTTTAGGAATGTTGTGTATGGGCGTCAGCCCTGGAAGTGTTTAGTATAAAAGGACAGCCAATAGTTATTTCTGGGTCTCAGTTTTAGTTCTTCTGCCTACCTTCATCTGCTTTGTATTTTCGTGTGTGATAAACGTTTCTGTTAGCTTCTCTACGTAAGCGGGGTCGTAACAAGGAATATGGAAAAAATTAGATTAGGAACTTCATTTCATATAGGGCCAAGAATCCGAATCCTGACGGTCAAGAGCATATTTAGAATTCTGTTTATTTTTAAAAATTTACCCAATTCCATTTGAAACTTTTCCGATAATGACAAAATTTCTTTTTTAGTAACTTTATTTAAATAATCCTTATAACTAAAAACACCATTTCTTCTCATTAATAATACATTTTTTAATTTATTAAATAATTTCTCGTTGTATTGTTCAACCAATTCCTTGTTTAATTCAAAACATTTATTTGCATATTCCTCTCCCATTAATTTGGCCATTTTTTCTTTTTCTATAATTTCAGTATCTTTTTCAATTTTTTCAATATCTTTTTTAGAAATTCTCCTTCCAACTTTCCATTCCTTTTTTACTTTCCTTGCATAAATTTCTGTTTTTAAAATTTTAGAAAACAAAAGATAATCGTTTACGCAAGTAATTTGTTCTGTCGACAATTTCTCTGCTTCTACGCAGAAAAGTACAATTGTCAAGGGAAAAATTAAAAGTAATTTAATATTTAAATAATACATATTAAATAAAATTTAAGAAAAATAATTTTAATATTTTTTATAAGCAAGGGAAAATAGATAGAGAGAGGCTAAATAGTGAGAGCGCGAGGTGTACTTTTTTGAATTTCGAAAGCGGTTATTAAATAAACACTAGACGACTTTATTAAATCGATTGGCAAATGTTAATAAAAAAAATTTTATTAAGAAATTTATTTATATTTTTTTAATTAATTTAATGGATGCAGAAGAAAAATGTATTTAATGAGGCAGAACGCCAACCAAGAAAAAACTGCTCGATTTATCTCTTGTTCTCTAATTTTTTCTTATTTCCAATAATATTTTTATGTGATTTTTACAAATCCGAGGTTATTAGATTTGAAGCATCATATCTCGGCTTAAATACTATATTTAAAAAATTTTTAAATAAGTTTATATTTTATTAAATTTGTTTTAAATTTGTTTTTACCGATTTAAAGTTACTAAATTTTTATATGATATATTTTAAATATTTTTTACTATATTAACAATGGAAAAAATTACAAGATTGATAATGACGATGAAATTATTTTCATTAAAATAGTGGTAAATTTTTAAACAAATAATTGATAGAAAATAAATTATAGAAAACTGAATCAGAAAAAGAAATAAGAAACTAAAAAAATTACTTTTGAAAGACGGCTATCTTTTAGATTTTAAAAATTTTTAAATTTATTTATTTTAGGAGGGAGAAAAATTTTTTAGGGTACTTTTAATTTAAAATAAAAAATATATTAGAATTTCCGAAAACACCAAATACGAGTAGAAAATAATTTTCTATTTTTGATAATGTTTTAAAAAGTAAGAAAGCATCGGACCAATTATAGATACGTTTACTCAATGGAAATATTTTTATTCAATCTTTTAAGATACACCAAAAAATTATTTTGTGTGTTTGAGAAAAGTGTAGAAGGACAACATTGAATGTTATGAGAAAAAGCATAAGCGAAAAGCATTTAGAACAACCAAATTTCTTCAATTTTAAAAATAAAATTTAGAATCCAGAAAAGTTCAATTCTTAATCAGGGTTGCCGCGGGTACAAAAAATCTTCGGGTACGGGTTTCGGGTATCGGGTTGGAGCGTTTTCATTTCGGGTCACGGGTTTCGGGTTGGCAAAAATATCGGGTACGGGTTTCGGGTTTCGGGTTATAAAATTTTCATTTCGGGTATCGGGTTTCGGGTTGGCAAAAATTTCGGGTACGGGTTTCGGGTTTGGCTGAAAATCGGGTTTTTTTCGGGTGCTCGGGTATTGGTGAACTAAATTGTAAGGAGACAAGCTATATTGAATAATAGGATTTTGGGTGATATAGAGAGAGGAAAATTTGAAAAGATTAAAGAGACATTGTGGGATTTAAGGATTAAGAGGGATATATTGTTAAAATCCCACCTTGATAAAATTCCACTATATACTAATATTCCTCCGCTTTATCTCAATTAAAGCCTCCAATTTTTTCCCGATTTCAGCGCCGCAGGCGAAAATTTTGAGAATTTTGGAAGACCAAAAAGCCAAATTTCTTCAATTTTTTGCGCCGCAGGCAAAAATTTTGAGAATTTTGTAAGGCCTTAGGAGAAAAAATTCAATTCTCAGAACCGCAGGCAAAAAATTTTATTGAAATTTAGTTGGTCATGAAGCCAGAACTCTTAATTTTATGCGCCGCAGGCAAAAATTTTGTAAAATTCACGACTAAATTAAAATTTTTTTCAAGCTTAAAATATCAAATAAAATAAATTTAAAAATCTAAATTAAAAATCAAAGTTCAATAACATTTATTTTTGAAAAGAAAAATTTTTTTAAGCCTCATTTCCAGCCCTGGAGTCGAACCCACCCCCATGAAAATATCGAGGCAGTCGCCTTACCCATTCGACAACCGATCAACATATTGACAAATGGAAGAAATTATAAATATTTCTTTTTCTTTTCCCTTTCTATAATTCTTTAAATTTATTTTAAAAAATCGGGTAAGACTAAGTTTTCGGGTAGAAATTTCGGGTTTTAACCAATTTCGGGTCACGGGTTTCGGGTTGAAAAAAATATCGGGTACGGGTTTCGGGTTTCGGGTTGGAAAATTTTCTTTTCGGGTATCGGGTTTCGGGTACAAAAAAAGGCCGGGTTTCGGGTTTCGGGTTTCGGGTTTCGGGCGGCAACCCTGTTCTTAATGGTGTAAGTTTTGAAATACTCAAAAGAGTTGAGACCAAGACTACATCCCAAGACCATAACCAAGACCGAAAAAACCCCCAAATAAGTTTAGGAAACAAGACACAAGACCAAGAGTCTTGGACATCTCGAGTATATAGTATCAAATATTTATTCAATCATTGAGAAAAAAAGGAAAATGTGGGGAGATTAACGAATATAGTATCAAATATTTGTTTCAATTATTATAAATTTTTCTTAAAAGATCAAGAACAGCATTTCGATATGGTGTGTTTGTTAAAATACAAATAATTGGGTTAAATACAGGTATTAGATGAAAAGAAATGCCAAATAATATTCGAATAATATTTGTTGTGTTGTTGTTTATTTTTGAAAAACTTAAAATAAATATGACTCCAGCTTGGTTAACAAATGGTACGACAACCTAAAAATTAATTTGAAAATATTTTTTACAATTTAGCATTAATTAAAGGGGAAATTTTAAAAATATTTTCCAATCAAAAATCTTCTCACCATTAACATCAAAACTTTTGTTAAAAGTTTATTCAACTTTTTTACATTTCCATCAAAATTGGAGTTTAAATTGATGAATCTAATCATTTTGTATGCACACACAAGTATTATTAAATACGGGAGTATTTGAGATATATCTACAGGTAAACTTGACAAAAGTGTTATCTATTTTAGTTAATATATAATTTATAAAATAATTTAATACAAAAAATTACCTTTTCAATTTTATATTGAATAAATGGCCATGTTTTGTTAAAATTATCAAAATATTTAATACCTCCATTTGAATATGGCATAAAAAAGAAAATCTCATCTATTATATATAATGACGACACAATCAAAGCAATGGACACAATAAATAAATAACGGCGGAAATTAATTTTCATATTCCTTTTAATATTTATATTTAAGGAGAAATTTACTCTTGTCCAGTTTATGCGTACAATCACATCCTTATCGCACCCCTAAGACTATGCCTATCCGGCTCTGTGTGTTAGAACCCATGGTCCGGTATTGGGGGTACAGTATGGGCGTGTGAACAATAACTAAGTTTGCCGCTCAAATAGACGAAGCTCGAAAGAACGACTTGAGCCGCAATTTTCGAAAAAGGCAGAAAAATAAGAAAAATGTGCCAAAAATGGCGATTTGACTCTAAACTCGAAAAAACTATGTTGACTCTCTTGTCCTATCCTTTTGTCCATCACTGACTCGATAACGATCTATCCAAAAAAATCAAGCTCGAAAATTTCGCCGACCGTCTGCTTAAATAAAAACCGGCAGCTGTAGCAATATCTTTGGTTACTTAGAATTTCTATCCCCATAGAATCTGGACAAGAGCCGAGAAACTTTTAATAAAAATTTTTATTTATTTTACCAATTCAAAATTAAATATCTATAGATAAATTGAACACATAATCCATGCAAATTCAAGATACCAATATATTGCCAAAACGTTGTAACAATATAAGATATAAAAGGATTAAAATTTTGGTTCATAAAAACAAGCAAAATCCCATTAGGAAATATAGCAACTGAATTCCCTTCTGCATCAGGTAAATAAAACTAAAAATATTAAAAATCAGGGCTGCGATCGAGAAAATGTTAAGTATATGTATGTAGTACAAAAAGTCCAATTTCCAAGTACATTGGGAAAAAAATTTTCAAAATGTGCAGGTGTGCGCAGAAACAGCATTTTAGTATTTCGTTTCTACGTCGGTTAGAGTTTAAGCCCCTATTTGTCTACCTGGTGAAGCAGACAAGCAGTTAGGCACAGAAAATTGACTTTTAAATATTAAAAAAATTCAGAAAATTATAATTGTTCTATTTTTTCATCAAAATGATAGAAAAATGCCTGCTACTAAATTCGAACGTAATGATAGCGTAATTTTCGTAGGTCGTTTTTATCTGTATCTTCTCTAGCGAGAAGATACAACTTTCATTCACATAGCTGTCATCAGGGGGGGAGGGGGGGGGTATAAGACTTATGCCCGAAGAAGCTAAAGCGAAAATGCGAAGGGCAATTTAAAAAGCGGAACATGAAAGGCAAAAGCCCAAAAAAACGACATTTTCGCGAAAGGTTAAAGGCACACCGCTGCTAAAATGTTCGTTTTCCTTGAAGACGAACATGTTAGCAGCGCTTGTGCCAAGCACCAAAACCATTATTAAATACTGATTTTAATATTTTGATCAGATTATATTTTCTAATTTTATTTTTTAAATTTATATTTTTAGTTTTATTTACTAAATAATTTTACCCCTAAAAGTAACATTTGAACAGTCAACAATAAAATATCCAAAACACAATTTTGTATCAGAATTCGACTGTGTATTTTCATTTCATTTGGTGTTTTAAAAATAATTAAAATAATCAGAATAATGTTTAGAGGAAACCCAATTAATAAACCAACAAAATAATCAAATTTAAATAAAATATCAAGTAAATCTAAGGGCATTTTGAAGAATATTGTAACTGATTTTAAATTTTTTTTTTTATTTTTCAATTTTCAAAAAACTTAATGAAAGGGAAAAATGTTTAACTTAAACATATTCATTGGCATTTATTTAACGAACAAAGCAAACAAAAATGTTTTTTCATTATAATTATTATGTTAATAAACATATATAATAGATATGTTGCTTTCATTTTGTTTAAAATTTAACTGCCAATCAAAAGAAAATGCCAACTTTTTTATTCGCATTATAATAATTAATAATTATATAGAATTTTAAGTGTTGACTTGGAAACGTTTGAATTTATTAAAGGAAAAGTACATCTGAACTTTTACACAATATACTGAGCAATACTGGCATTAATCTCCGGGTTTTCTAAATTATTGTGGGTATTAAAGATAAACGTTAACTGGGTTTATCTTTAATATGGGAGTCTTTGAGCACTGTAAGGTAGAGCTGCAACTTTTGGAAACTTTAAAGCAACAAAGCAATATATAAGCAATAATAATTTTATTTAAGATTAAACAGTAACCTGAACTACAACAAGATATATAGGCTGACAATCTTTCTTTAGGGTTCGAATTAGACATAATGGCGGCCATACACTAAAATGGCGTTCATCTAAAAGGAAGGCCATATTCTAAGAGTTTTCTCCAGCTTAAGAGTTCCATTTACATTCCGTACAACAAAAGATTTGTTGTAACTCTAGAGCACTTTAACAACGAATACACATTTAACAAGTCGGCCACATATGGGGGAAGCAAAAATTGAAAAATATTTGTTTGAGGTTCGTATCAATTTATTAATTCATTTTTCAATTGAGTTTAGACACAACAGGAAACATAATAAAACATAGTATAATAAAAACTAGTTGAAGTGCTGTACAATTGGGAAAAGAAATTCACCCATATGAATGTTAAATATTAATTCAATGCTCGTTGTCCCTTGAATAGAGAAACATATAATAAAATGTTTAATTGCCATTAATAAATTTAAAAAATGTTTAGCAATTGTTTTCCGGTTATAATAATTTTGGGAAGGATATACTTTGAAGAGACGCTTATATTAATTTTGGGACGCATATGCATTCATGGGACGCATATATTTTCATGGGACGCAACTACTTTCATGTGACGCATATACTTTCATGGGACGCAAATACTTTCATGGGACGCATATACTTTCATGGGACGCAAATACTTTCATGGGACGCATATATTTCATGGGACGCAAATACTTTCATTAGACGCATACACTTTTATGGGCGTATGTCGTAAGATAGAGCCAAAAGTAGAGGGCATAAAAGTTGGTCTCAACTGCCTATTCTCATTCATTTTTACTCAATTCTTTTTTTAATTTTAAATAAATATCTTTATTAAGAAAAACCTGAAAATCAAGCTAGCTGAAGATCGAAGAGTATTTTCGGTTTTTAACTGACCGAACCCGGTTTTAACTAATATTTTCCAGAATATCCCATTCATATTTTTCCAATTAAAATGCTTCAATGAAATATTATACAAATGAGACGACGAAAATTTTGTTATTTAGAGCGATATAAAGGGATTTGGATGGATTAAGGAGCGTAATAAGGTGCATTGGCGGAGATATTGCGGAAATTAGAGAGTATAGAGACTTGCTTTAATAAATCCTGCTTTAATAACTTGCTTTAGGAAAATTTATTTGATTGTATTTTTTGCTCGAGAAATACTCTGAGTTTAAATTAGGGTAGTTACCGAGCCTTTGGGGTCGGAATTTCGGAGATCGGGGTTTGCCGGGGAGAGCATGTCGGTGTTCTGCGTCGGGGTTGACTTTTGGGTCGGGGTTGAGGTCTTGTTATGGAGGTTCTGTAGGACTTCTCAAATTAATATACCAGCGCCTCCGGTGAAATCTTTATAATTTATAGGTGCATAAGGTATCAAAAATGCAATAAAACTATGCATTTTTATGTGTAAAATGTTAATTTAGAATTTTTTCTTCAATGCAAATGCTGTAGGGTTGTAGAAACGCGTACTGGTTTCTAATGTGGGTAAAACAAAAAAGTCGTTATCCAAGCAAACTTTATTTATTTCACAAAAGTTTATATAAAAAAGCTAAGTGAATCACAAAATTAGCTAAAGAATGTAGAGATAAGAGCAACGGGAAGAAAAACAGAACCAATTTTATAGGTGTAAGGCCAAACATTAATGTATGTGTATGAAAACAAAGAATGTATGGGAAAATTATATAGATTATGTATTTAGATAAAGGAAACAAAAAAATAAAATTGAATTGAAAATAAAATGTTAATTAAAGAAATTTCGCGTTTCGCGACAGGGTCGAATATAAATAATATTAGATAGGGTTTTATTACATTTGTTCTGATTCTTCTTATTAATATTTCTTTCTTAAACTGTGCTTTGTTTTATTCTCTTACATTTTTCATTAGTACATACCTTGAACTTAATCATAATATGATCTGATGTGGGAAAATTCTTGATTACGTTAGTCTAACTAAATTATCAGGGAATAATAAAACCAAATAAACTATAGCTTTTTCTCTTGCGGGCTTATTAACTTTCTGTATTGGATTAGTTTGGTTAATAAATTCTAGTAAAGCCTTTCCAATCAGATCAGAAGCAGATAACATATTCCTATAAACATTAGGGCTGGGATTTTTTCTCTTCGGACCTTCGGCCCTCACCCTTCATCATAGTTGGGCGTCTCGTTAGGCGTTTGTCCTCAAAATTTCTTTTATCTTTTAAAAATTCGCAACTATTCATTACAATTTTTTCTCAAAAGTTTTTAAAAATTAAAATTTATTTCCTTTATCACAGAAAAGAATTAACTACTAAAAGAAAATTTAAAATCTTCAATTTGAAAAATGAAGATTTTTATTTTCTTTTTATTTTATTTGATATTTCTTCTCCAATGTAAATTTGTTGAAGGAATGAAAAGACATGGAGCCAGTTTGTTTTAGTTTTAAAATATACGTATATTCGAACCTCAATTTAAAAGTTTGCAGAAAAATAAAAAGTACAAGAGGTTTTCGTTTACTTCCCAGTTTTCAAAATTGCCGCTCTAAAAATAAATCTCGAACGATTGATTTTGCGGAATTGATTCCAGGAATATCATAGGATTTTAGTGTCTATCAAATCCTCATATATCCAGATCCATGATCTCTAACCTAAACATTTTAATCCCTCGATATCACGCCCAAATATGGATATTAGCGGATTCGATGGTATATCGAAAGAATAAAAGGGATGTGGATAATATCGTGATTAATACTGATCTCAGGAAGGATACCGAGGATTAAGAATATCTGGAAGGATATGACCGATAATTACTAATTATGACCGATAATTATGACCGATAATTACGTTCCGGCTGTGTTTATTAAAATTTCCTCTTGAGCCCAACTCTGTTTAAAACCAAAAAATCTAACATTTTAGATAAAAAAGGAAAGGGTGTGAT